AAACCTGCTATTAGAAATCCAGAAGATCAATCTTAAGATCTCATAAATGTACAATACATTGAAAGAGCAAAGGAGTAGATATGAAGCAATGGATGCCTGAAATACTGAGCCTGAAGATGAGTATCTCAATACTAGTATGCTAGAAGAACAATCAGAAAAAAAGAATGAGAGAATCTGAAGATAGCCTAAGCGTTATGTGGGACACCAAGAACAACTTACGTGTAATAAGAATTCCAGAATGGAAAGAGACAAGCACAGAGAAAAATTTCAAAGAGTTATTGGAAGAAAACTTTTCTAACATCATGAAAGATAAGAAACAAAGCATGCATACAAGAAGCTGAATGAACCTCAAACAGGAGAGATCCCCAAAGGAAATATGTAAATAACAATATTGGTGTTTTTCTGGTGTTTGCTGTTGTATATTTGCTCGATGGTACTGATTCCTGTCTTAGCATTCTGGCCTTCCTATCTGACCCAAGGCTGGTTATATTTTAACTATCTATCTCCAAGAAACATTGTGATATACTCTGACTCCTATGGGGTTTCTACAAGAAGCTCTGGTAGCATAGTGGTTACAAGTCGGGCTGCTAATCTCACAGTCAGCAGTTTGAAACTACCAGCTGTTCTGCGGGAGAAAGATGAGGCTTTCCGTAAAGATTTATAGTCTCAGAAACCCTGTACAGGGTCACCATGAGTTGGAACTGACTCCAGGGCACACAACAACAACAACATGGGGATTCTACAACTATGGGATTATCCAAGGTAGGCATGGTGAAGAAGGGGCCATATCAAGTGGATAAAACTCTCTGTTAGGGCTGATTCACTCCTATATTTGCCAGACCCTTTCCTCCATAGTCTACTCAGAGCCTATGAGGAAGAGGCACAGGAATCCAGTTCTCCAGTAAGAATCATTTGCTATTTGTTTTGTCTGTAGACTTCCCCAGAAGAAGGTCACATAGGTCAGTGGCTATCAAGTCAATGTGAGCAGTGATTTCTTCTAAGAAGTTTAATTAAAGTCCAGTATATAAATTTGATTAAAAAATCGGTATTCACTTTTTAATGCCTCCCATGTGCTGGCTAGGTAATCTGCTGTTAATCCCATTTAAAACTCACAAGAAGACTAGAGGTTGCTGCTCTTTCTGTTTTACCAAAGGGAAAACATAGACATAGAGTTGAGTTAGCTTATTAAAGCTGGGGAAGGGGGCGGATAGGAACCGTCATACTTAATCTCATTTTTACCTCACTGGCAGGTTCTAGTGGAATCCTCAGCTCTCTGGGAATTTGAAAACCCTCTTGCATCTTTAGGTCAAAAGCTCAAGTACTTTTATGAGGGTCAGCTGAGTAACACAAAAATGAAGAAGGCCAGGTGGAGACTGTAGAATGCATGCATGGTCTAAGGAGGGCAGCTACCCTCTGTTTTGGACATCCATTGCCAAACTCTGTGCAGCTCAAACAAAGGCATGCCTGGGAGAAAATTCAGTTTATAGGTCACTAGTTTCAGACCTTTGGAGTAATGAGGAGAGTAAGAAAACCTACCCTGTAGGTGCCTTTAAGGTAAAAGACCATGAAGATGTCTTTAAGAAGATGCCTACTGACAAATAAAATGACGGAGAAAAAACAAGCCCATGAGTCTTTTCAGACATATGCATGTTCTGATGACCCTACGTTATACTGACAAGAAAAGAATCACTCTTCCCACTGTTTATCCACTGGTCTGATTTATTTTTAAGCAAGCCCTTCCCCTGCTTGGTTCTTTCTATTCTTCACTATGTGTTTGCCAGTATTGGCCAAGCATCCAGTCTCACACCTCCTCCCTCACATCCTTCCCCTCTCCCCCAACTGTCTTCAAATTTAAAGATAAACATGACTCTATAGTGAATGATGATACTTTCTAAACTATACAGCAGGCAAAGTGAGTCCTTGAGGAAACGTGGTAGGAAGATATTATTCCATGGCCACTGAGGAATACTGGATCTCATGGACAGTCCCGTCAAAGTGGACACCCTGGCACATGTCTGTGAGGTCTTGATAGTTACAAATGCATTATCTTCAGAGAGTGAGACTGTGTACAAACCTATCCATGACAGCCCAATGCCAAGCCATGACTTGCTGCATTTGTTGTTGTTGTTGTTGCTAAGTGTTGCAGAGTTGATTCCTACTCATAGCAACCCTGTATGTTTTCCAAGGAGCAACTGGTGTTTGAACCACCAACCTTATGGTTCACAGTCCAGTGCTAATCCTACAGCACTACACCAGGGCTTTTAGATACTTGATAATCTACAAGGAACTGCCTACTGGAAAAAGAGGTCATAGGCATGAAGCTACTATTAAAGGAAATACAGTCAGTGCTCATTACCAGGTAAACTGGAGGGGACTTGTGACATGAACAGTCCAGAATGTAGTAGAAAGAGCATGACACACAAAGATGGAAGGCCAGTAAATGTGGGAATTGGACTAGACTGAAGTTTTCAAATTTATTTTTTCCCCACCTTTTCATCCTTCCTCCTTTCTTTCTTATTAGCTTCAGAATTCTTGTTTCAAAAGAAATATTATTCACAAGTCCAATTTATACAATAGATAAAAATAGAACTACTTTGGCTCTGTGTGGGTGCAGACACCATACTGGTTCTCTATCTTTCTCTAGCTCTACTTTCAGTATATCTGAGGCACCTCTGAAAAGCCCTTTTTCGGAATCACAGACACAAATTTACAAAACAACTAGAATGAGATTACTCCCAGTCCATCTCAGAACCATGGAAAGGAGGAGATTTTTCTCTCAGAGATGGATACACCCAAGTCTACCAGTATCAGATTACTTGTCCAGGGCCACACAAAGAGTTGGAGCATGAGTCAGGACTCAATGCAGTGGTCTTTCCACCATACATAACTGATACAGTTGCAATACCAATGAGCTATCTAAAGCTGTGTAACCTTGGCAAGCTACTCACCATTTGGGGGAATCTGTCACTTACAAAAAAGGAGTCAGTGAGAGTCTTACATTATGTGGCTACAAGGATTCAATGAAACAATGAATGTAAAGGACTCAGAACCTTGCTTGGCATATGGTAGATATTCTATAAAAGTTGTACCACACTGCCCTCTTCGTTTCTGTATGCCTTTCAGCTGCAGAACATCAAAGCCATCAATGTGTCTATTAATTTTGAGTGCATCAACCAGGGAAAAGACAGAACTGTCCCCGACACAGGATGAATCCAAATAACCTACAGCACATGCAGTGAAAAGTTGACTATAAAGCACAATTAAAATTTTTGAATACAGTGAAGTCTGGAAATAAATCCTGCCTTTTCACTTTCCAGTATCTTTTCTTACCAAGAAAACCATGACATTGAGCAAACAGGTGGAGGAAAGATGACTAACCTGGGGGAAATGTCACATCCTTGCTGCATGAAGGCTCCCAGGGAGAACCACAAGCTGTTGAATATCCCAAACTCATTGGATTGATCACTGGTTGTCTGGTCACGTCCTTCCTCAAACTCTTCACTGTGCCATTCATAGGGGCTGAAGCGGCTGACCAGAAAGAGGACGACACTCACTCCAATGTAGGCAAAAACGATGCACATCCAAATCTCATAAGCCAAAGGGTCAAGGAAGGAGAAGACCCCCGGCTTGGACTTCTGTGGTTTTTTTATCATGATGGAGATTCCCAAACTCATAAATGGCTTGGAGAAGTCTATGACCTCTTCTCGGACTAAGGTGATGGTTAAGGGGGCCACAGCCACATCTGCTCTCTGGAAGGAAAAACAAAAAAACACAACAACAGCTGAGCTCATCAGCTTTCTTTCTTCTCTTGCCCCTTTCTTCACAGCAGACATTGTTTTGTATTTCAAAGGATGCAAGTGGGAAAGTAGCAATTCAACTGCTGACAAATGGCTCCCTAACTCAATATTTTATGTTATTGTTGTTGTTAAGTGCCATTGAGTCGGTTCTAATTCATAGAGACCCTATGTAGGGCTTCTGAAGAGTAGCTGGTGATTTTGAACTGCCGACTTTACGATTCAAACCGACCTTGAGGTTGATTGCTTTTCCTATGGCACCAAACCAGGAGGAAATTATTTTACTGGTTGATAGATCTAATTGTTAGATCTTATGTTATTTGTTGGCCTTGTCTGCCCAACAGTCATTCCTCCCTCTTCTGGTAGGAGAACCACCACTGGATAACCCTCAATTCTCCTGGTTCAAATGGGGCTGGTCACCTTGGTTACTTGTTAAAGCACACGGCTCAGGCCTCGCCAATTAGTGTACTACATTCCTCAAGCCAGAATGATTCCTTTAAGAATAGGAATTGGTATCAGGTTGGTTTAGTGAGAATTTACCCTGAGAGTCAGCTGAGAAAAGTAGAGTTTAATCCTTGATTCAAGGAGCTCTGGTAGTGTAATGGTTATGAGTCAGGCTGCTAACTTCAAAGTCAGCTGTTCGAAACTACCAGCCATTCCGCAGGAGAAAGATGAGGCTTTCTGCTCCTGTAAAGATTTACGGTCTCGGAAACGCTATGAGTCGCTATGAGCCGGAACTGACTCCATGGCACATGATCATCACCACCAATCCTTAATACTATCACTTGGGCCATCCTAAATTCAGGTTGACCCTGAATTTCCTAAAAAAAACCCATGTGTCAATATATTCCTATTTGTCTGCAAGAACATGTTTGCATATTTGCCTAAGTTGGTCTACATTGGGGTTCTTTTACCTGTAACCAAGATAGTTCTGGTTAACAAGGTGGTGGTGGCAAATTTAACTTGACAAATGTTTAGTGAGCACTTAGTTAATGAAAGCCCTGACCTAGACACTATAGGCAAGCTATGATCCCTGTACTTTGGGAATTACAAACAGACAGAAGCGACTGACTCATACCACACACTTTTATAGTCTGCAAAGTAGACTGGATAGATGCTTTCTAAGAGATACAAAATGCTAAAGTAGAGATCAGGAAGGAATGAATTAAGGAACAACATCATGGAAGAGGTACCTTCTAAGTTTGACTTCTAATTAACTTTTAAGTGATTACCTATGGTGTGGCACTGTGGGTTAATTCACCAGACTGCAAGTTGGTTTGAATCGCAAGGTCGGTGTTTCAAGCTCAGCAGCTGCTCCTCAGAAACCCTATACAGGATTGCTATGGGTCAGAACTGACTCAACAGCACTTAACAACAACCCATTGAAGGATGGGTAGGAGTTGGATAGATTGCTGCAATTGAGTACAGGTCTAGAGGTAAAGGGGAGCAGTATTACAACTTTTTTTGTTTTCAGGAAAATTGCTAAAAATAGTTAAATTTGAATGTAGATTTTGTAAAGGTTGGAAGATATGTTCATCCTCAGGCAGCCCCACGAGTAAAGTGGGATGGCTGCTTATTGTTGTTGTTGTTAAGTGCCACTGAGTTGGTTCTGACTCATAGCGACCCTGTACAGGTTTCCCAAGGAGCAGCTGGTGGGTTTGAACCATCGACCTTGCTGTTGGCCATTCAGTGTTTATCCTACAGTGCCACTCCAGGGCCCAGGATGGCTACTGGGCAGATACAAACAATTGATATTCACATCAGCCCCCTTCTCACTAGGATTTATATTTCTCTATCTCTCACTAATGGCAGAAACACTGGCATTGATGTGACGAGAACCTACTGCTTTATTGGCTTGAGAGCAAAAGATCTTGGAAATCCAAGGGAGTTTCTATTGACAGATCCACATATGCATTTTTGAAATGAGAATCATGCCTATGTAAGTCTGTCTGAAGTGAGTGGCTGTCTGCTATGATGCTGTGTAACAATCCAGATGTGTGATTGTCATAAATAGTGTGATTGGTGATACATAGTGTGCAGCTAAGGGCTCCACCCAACCCCTGCCAGCTGTTAGTGATTTACTCTGGTTCCTCTGGCTGGAATTGTTGAGAATATGCTTTAAGTGGAATAAAAAAATGACTTTTTATTCTGACCTTTTGTAAAGTAATGTGGTCAGTTAGGTATGAATTTCATAGTAATTCTGCTTTTTTTTTCTTTTTCTTTTCCTAATACTCTCTTTGTAAATCTTGATAATTTTTATAAACACTCATAAGCCAATACAAGGGATAAGAGATTTACTTTTTTGTTTATAACTAACATAGATGGAAAAAGAATTGGGGAGACAAGTAGCAGAAATGAGGACTGTGAAGGATTTCCTACAAGTTACTCAGAAGGGAGACAGATGAAGACAAGCTTTGAAACTGTTAAAGGGCCTTCAGTGGATTTGTTGGATGCCTTTTGATATGGGTTAGTAAAAAAACATAAGTTCATATAAAAGACTGGAAAATGATTTAGCCAAATTATTTTAGTGTTTAATTCAGCAGTATTAAGATTTGTTCCATGAAACATTATTTCTAGAAGGCTTTTGGTGGCACAGTAGTTAAACTCACAGGTGCTGGTGGAAAGGTCAGAGGTTCAGATTTACCAACTACTTCTTGGTAGAAAGATGAGGCAGTCTGTTGCTGTAAAGAGTGTTAAGTACCGTGGAGGCGGTTCCAACTCATAGCAACTTTGTACAGGGTTTCCGAGGCTGTAAATCTTTATGGGAGCAGAAAGCTTCATCTTTCTCCCATGGGACAGCTGGTAGTTTCGAATTGCCGACCTTGAGGTTAGCAGTCTGATTTGTAACCACTACGCTACCAGCCTTGGAAACCCCAGGGGGCAGTTCTACTCTATCCTATAGGGTTTCTATGAGTTGAAATCGACTGCAGGGCAAGGGCTTAAAATGAAAATACTTGTTTGGGAAACTTGGATTTAAACAGGTTACTTTGGGTCAGAATTTCTCAGAACATTTAAAAGGCTACTCTGTAGTGAGAAAATCTAAGTGGGGTAAGTAGGATGAAGAATTTCCCCAAATTATTTGGCCATGGGTCCTTCATTTCCATGAGCATCAAATGCGGCCCATTGGTGAGCAAAGTTCAACTACTTCATTTTAAAGATAAGCAGCTCAGGTCCAGGGAGAGAAGGTGGTTTACCCAAAGCAGCAGAATTCTAACCACTGAGAGATTTGGGGAGTTGATTCCCCTGCCTGAGGTTGAGCTTGGGAATCAGCAGGATCAATCAGGTCAAGAGAAAAGCTGAAGTAGATTTGGAGGTTCTACTCTATGATTTGCTAACTCTGTGGTCTCAAATGATATCAACATTTTCCTCTAAAAAATAGGTTTAATCATTCTGGTTTTACCCTGTTTCAAAGGATTGTTTTGTGAGGGTTGAAAGAATTAAAATATGTGAGAGCACTGTGAAATGTGAAAATTTTACAGGTTCTTAAAGTTATTATCCTAAGCTGACATCTCAGGACTGTGCTCTTCAAACTTGAATGCCCATCAGAATCCCCTGGAAGACTTAAAAACATGGTATATAGAATTTGATTCTGTGACTCTTGGATGAGACCTGAGTATTTGCAGCTCTCCTAAACTGGATGAGACCTGAGTATTTGCAGCTCTCCAAAACTCCCAGGTGATATACTAATGTTACTGGTTCAGAGACCACACTTCAAGAACCACTGACCTAGAGATCCCCAAATAAAGTATGTGAAGTTCAGACACAATCTGGAAAACAGTGTTCAGGTTTGATGTGGTGGAGAAAAACAAAGAGTGAAAAACATAATCAGGGACAAAGATGTACTCTGAACCAGGTGCTATATTTGTGAATACACCCTGCCACAGTCTGTGATAAGATTCATCCATTTCCCTCCTTCCCTCTGAATTGTTCAAAAGTGGCTTGCAAAGAGTTCACTCAGTGAATTGACAGAGATGAAACTCAAATCCAGATGTCTGTCTGCAAAATTCACATTCTTCCTGCTTCATTGAGACAAAGGGCAGGCAAAAAAATCACCTGTATATAAGGTAGAAAGACATAGCCACATAAGAAGCAGAAACTTTATTTCTAGTGCACGGCATTTGAAAATGCAGACAATATTGATGTTCTCACCACCAGTTACTTTTAGCTTTTCAGTCCAGTGCTTGGGTGGTGTGATTTCTACAGAGGCAGTTTACCCAGGAGTTAAGAATCCACAGTGTGGAGTCAAAAAGCCATGCTTTTCTGTTTGGTATCTTTTATCAAATTACTTCACCTTCCTGAGCCTCACCTTGCTCATCTGTAAAATGTGTGTAATAATCATATCTAACTTGAAGGACTGTTATAAGAATTAAATGAAATAATGTGCAAAAGCTATTTAATATACTACCTGAAACATGTAAATTCTAAGATGTTACTACTACAATTGTTAAGAACAAGAGTGAATAAAAGAAGAAAGTTCTAATAGACTTAGTGTTTTAAATGGCACAGAAAGAATACATTGGAGGCCTCCAGTTGAAGTTTTTCTGATCTCACTTTTGCTCTTAACTGAGAATTGTTGTTGTTGTGAAGTGCTGTTGAGTCAGTTCTGACCCATAGTAACCCTGTATAGGATTTCCAAAGAGCATCTGGTAAGCTTGAATTGCCAACCTTGTAGTTCAAGCTGACTTTGCAGTCCAGCACATTAACCCACAGCACCACACTAGGACTCCAACTGAGAGATAGTATTCCTCCATTCTCCTTCAGGGATACAGGAAAGGGAAGTTAAACAAAAAATCAGGTGAGAGGCATCCAAGTGGGTCTATTTTAGGATTTTTAGAATTTAGTTTTCACTGAGCAGAGGAACATGCCTGGTGTGGGGAAGGAGATTGTAAGCACCTTTGGCAGCTGCGGCAGCCACAGTAACTCAGACTTGCCCAAATCCTGAGCCACCACTAACT